TTAATATATATTTTTATATATATAAAGTAGATTAATAGTGATTTCTGCTATTATGTATTAGTTTACACAATACACTTTTATACAATTATTCATGAGTATTTTACTGTAGTAAAAATTAATGCTGATGTAAAGCTAAGATGGAAGTAGCTTTGCAAGTTCCAACAGATTCTTCCCACAACACTAAGCTTATCGACAGCTTAAGTATTTTATGGTGCAACATTTTTAACTTCACATTAAATAAAGCACCATGATTGTAACTTAGAAAGAAAAACAAATAAAAATGCTACTGAAGTACTGTATGAGTGAGTTAACAGTATTTTAAGAACTCTGGCTTCTGGAATTTCCTGAGTTTTGAGTGCCTGACTTTGTGACTTGGTACTGCACCAAAACTAAAAATTTTTTTAAAGAAAGGAGGGAAAAAAAAAAATTTTGTTTGGGATTTTTCTACATGCTTTTGACTTCCTTAGCACATCTTATAAATTGCCTAAGCACAACCTTACACCTCTTTGTCTAACATCTGCTAAACAGAGAGATAAACTTAATAAGGAGGCCTCAGTAAAAAATAATCTGTCATATGCCTTATTGCAGAGCACAGTGTGCTCCAGTTAGATAGATCCACTATTTTTCACCTACTTTCTGTCTATTGCTATCTCTAATCCCCACAAATTGGGGCATGCCAGACTGCTCTCTAAACCTTAGTAGTTCCTTGCTCTCATAAAATTACGATATAAGTAAAAAATGCCTTTAAAAATGTGATATACAAAAGTGGACATATGGCTATGTGAATCTGGACAAGGTATTTATACTCGCCTTACTTACCTTCCCAATCACTCTTGCTCCTCTTGTCTATTTAGACATAAGCTTTTCACAGCAAGGGCTCTGTGTATACTTCTGATTAATACTAACATCAAGGCCAATCAAAGTTGGTCCATAAACCACACGTGTCATAATCTCCTGAAACTCAAACCCTACCAGCTGTCTACCTGATTCCAGCAGCTCTGCTGACTTTCAAAATACTGGGAGGAAATGCATGCAAGCCTCACATACTGTTGTATATTCCTCTGCTTAACAAGGAAGGAGGTCAAATGCAGACTGCTACTGTGCAAGATATTAGGAAAAAAAAAAAAAAAAGGGTTATGGCCAGAAGCCAGACTAACACTAGTCGGTGCGCACAGTTTGATCTCATTAAGGACAATGTCAGTGTGGACAACACAGCTTATGTGTTTATCATGCACCTTACAGAAAGGAGCCCCAGCTTCTGCAGCTCAACAATGTAAGCCAAGAATCAGGGTCACACTCAGAAGTGAAGTGGGGTTTTTTTTGGTATGGATTAATTGAAAACGCAAAGCCTGCTTGCCCTTCTTCTTTAAATGGGCTTTTTACATTATTAAATGGCTTGTCGAGCCTCATGCATATACAGCTCAGACAGACAACCAAAGAAAACTATCATGGTAACTGTTGTTTCCAGATACAAGCAAGGCAATCTGCTGAACACCTTTTAAACTGAAGTATCAGAGGCATCTCTCCTTGAACAGCATCAAACTTCTTACAACAATGTTGTGTGATCCTCAGATGTGCTTTGTTTTACTGATACAGAAGACATAAAACTGTCTAGAAAGTGGTCTTAGAATCGATGTTTATTCTGCAGGTCCCACATACAAAGATATGATATGAAATATATCTGATGTGTGATATGAGAGCAAACAGTAAATGAAAACCAGACGATTGCTTGTGTGTCCAATCTAAATAGTATACAGAAGTACCGCAGCAAACAACATAAGCCAGGCTGAAAAGAAACTTAACAAGCACCACACAAAAGCTATCCTGCACAAAGAGCCATATCCAGCATATGTACTTCTAAATCTCATCCTATTTTGAGGAATTTAATTATGGATAAGCCTTTTGCTGCCACCTGTACAGAAATCAATGTTGCACAGAGTACTTCAGGGCAGTGAAAATAAGTAGGCTATCAAATAGTTGAACTAACAGTCATGAATTAAACTAGGGATACCAACTTTTCAGCAGTAAAGGTTTTATATATTCCTGCAGACGACAAGTTTAATTGTTGTTCAGTGACATTCATTTTAATGTGAAATATCATTTCAACTTTGCCCTTTTATTTACCCAGTGTAGAAACCACACACAAGCATAAATGATAGGTACCAGAGAACCAGCCAGAAGCAGACCAATGCAGTTGTTTCAAGAGCTCTTGCGAGACTGCTAGTCTGATGAGGATGCTCACATCCATCTTATGCTGAGATCACAAACATTTTGTTTGTGAAAACTAGTGTTCTCCTGCACATCCCAGAGACATGCCAACGTGTAGCCCTGGAGGACCACTGACATCTGGTGGTCATTTCAGTCCTCCCCAACAGTACCTGCAGCTCCTGGCAGGCAACGAGCTGAAGCGCAGAGATCACTGAGGTTTGGGGGGAAGCAAAACTGCTTCATCAATATCTAGCCTGTATCACAGCGGACAGGGCTGCTAGTGTGAACTAAACTGGCACACCTCTGGGAATAGAAGTGTTCTTTTCTAGAACTAACACATTAAAAAAAAAAAGAGGAAGGAAAAAGTAAAATATAAATTAATTCTAAGGAAAGCTAAGTCATATATGTTAAATTTTACTGTGACTTGATCAGATTATATTTTACAGATGGCCTGAAGAAATACATGCCAGGGAAGCATTAAGTTACAAGCCTTACTCTGTGTTTATTAACTTAGTGGAATTTGTTGGCTACAAGTAAATGCAGATGAACTGCAATATACAAACAACAAACTCAGTTAAAGCTGCCAGCACATTAATAGTATTGTTAGATTAAGCTTACTCTAGAGATAATAAAGCTTTTCTAAACAGAGCACATTTAATTCAACAAGTTCTTGAGAACAACTGGGTCATGAAATAGAATTATGTAAAACTGTCTTTTGACAAATAAAAAAAGAATTGTTTCCTAGGTAAGATGTTTCTTATTACTGAAAAGAAGCAGTGAGATTTCAGTCTTCTTTTGCTAGACAACTAGCACAATATTAAATTATAAGCAGGAATATTCAACAGTTTTATCCATTTTGGTACCTGTAGATGGTGAGACTGCCCAGACAGAAACTGCCTCAGTTCTCTCCAGCAAACTTGAGAGAGGATCTTCCTGACACTCAAAAGCAATTGTGCAGAGACCACAGCCATCAGCACTGGGTCTAAAATGTACTTAGGCCTGTTAGCACTGGTTGTTGATAGGCAAACATTTAAAGCTATGTTTTGTTTGTTGCAGTCATTTACAACTTGTAAACAAAACTCTGAGGCTTTCAGACATTCAGCAAGAATACAAAAATCTTACTAAACTGTCATGAGAATTTTCAATCCTTCCCAATCGCTTTCTTGCTGCAAAATGATTCGAAGTCTATTTTCAGGTAAATGTGCATTTGTCATTGAAACGGGAGCTCAGTTCAAACCTAGTAACACTCTCAGCATCTGCTGAGTAGTGAGAAGTAACCAAAGTGTTTTTCTACACCCTTCCTACATGCTACAAGAGTGCAGCTTTGCAAAAAATCTGCAGTACAAATCATTAGTCTCCAAACTGACCTATATTTTTCACTTACCACCAATACGACACCTCTCCCTAAGTAAACAGATTGCTAAATTACAGTTCCACCTTCAGTCTCGGCTACCTAACCAGACTGAAAGATAGTGAACTATTTTAAATTACTTTTATAAAATGCATTGTTGTGCATACGTTTTCTAGTTGGCTGTGGCACATTGTGGGCAAACATTTCATAGAGGCACATGCAATTGCTAACATCAGCAAGTAGTGCGCAAAAAATAGCCAGTGTTCAAAGTGGAAACAAGAAAGGGTACATGGGACACTAATATGGAGACAACTGTACCAAGCCACCCCAATGAAAGCAGGAAATGTGCACCGAGATAGTTTCGTTTGACTCAGCCAGGGCTTGTGACTGAGCTGGGTACCTGGCTGGGCCAAAGGCTACCCAAAAGGCTTTCAAAAGACAAGTATCACGTTTTTCACTCCCATTTGTATTCCAGCAGAAGTATAGCATCTGTTGACCGCTGATGCCTCTGGAGGATTTCACTCGTGTGGCCCACAAATCACTGATGTTCGTATATGTTTCAGGTCTCTTCCTGTACTGCTGCATGAACATACAGTGACAAAAGTGGCTCCACAAGACTACTTTTTAGTACCTTCCTAAAGGTCCAACTGCAAATCAATAGACATTAATCAGTACAGAGACACTCACTCCCGTACACAACAGGCACAGAGCCTATGTTCCACTTAAATCCCACTCCGAGCATTTAAAGTAAGTGCTATTTTCAGTATTTCAACAGTGCTGGTTCCTGCACAGTAATGCATTTCACCCACAGTGAAAAGCTGTCACATTGCTGTATATCTATTAAATAAAAGCATTATAATTAGGTCAGCTACTGGGTAAAGAAGACAATAACCACTTTAACAAAGCACTGTCACGGCCCTTATAGGTCCTCGACTGAAAAGAAAGTCTCTTCTTTCCTTTGTTGTCCCCGCAAAATATATTTTCCACAAATATCTTGCCATTGCCAATCCAATTATACAACAGCAGGAGACGATCACTGTGTGACAATGTTCTAATTCACAGACATAACCTTTCTTCTATATTTATATCTTATTGGGGATATTTTCCTGGGGGATAGAGATGCCCTCCACTCACCACCAGGGACAGACGGGTCTAAAAATAATTTTGCCTCGTTCTAATCGATAACATCATGTTGGCAAACCTCTTCCGAAGACACATGAAAGCAAGATAACCCATTCCCGCCAGCATGCTGACCAGCAGGGTGGTGCCAAGAACCCTGGGTGCCCTTTTCTTGGCCACGCGGAATGCCGTTGGCAGAACGGCTGAGATTAATATATTGTTGACGTGTCCTAAAACTTTGTAAAATGCTTTTCTCTTCAGGACGCGCTCATAATACGCTTCCAAGTTGGGCCGCTTTCCGTTTCCCCAGTTTCTTCTTGCTAATCCCAGAAACTTCAGGCGATGTAATGTGACAGCAAGTGATACATCTGCCAGACTGAAGAAATCACCACAGAGCCAAGGCTGATTTTCATCTTCTGAGCAGAGATAAAACATAAAGAATTAGGAGCTAATGGAACACAAGCACACGTAGAAGCCTCCATGGGCTAATATTTAGTTTAGTGCTGTTTCAAAATGCTGTCTAATAAACACCACCAACACTTCAGCTAAGATATGACTTTAATCAATGAACATTTTACTAATCCCTGTCCATTCTTCACACAATATTGTAAAGTCTTAGGCTCAGCAGCCTGGCCTACATTTGTTAAGGAACAAAGAGCCACGTTTTAGGTTCATAAATTAAAACCCACAGTAAACACTTATTTTCCTCAACTACATTTCTCAAATCTGGATTAAACTAAACAGGAGTGGAAAGGAGGAAGGCAGTTTAGCTTTTACTGAAAAGCTACCACTTGCCTGAAGAATTTATTGACTTGCCTGTGTCACTCAGCTCTATGGCATTCACTCAAGAACTGCTAATTTGCTGGAGACTTTCAAGTCAAAAAGAAATGGATCAGATGACTGACCTGCACCAAACACACCAGCTCAGCGAGAAGACAGAGTTTGTCTACTCATCCTTCCTTTGTGCCACCTAGACCCCAAACCATGGGGTTTTTACACTGAGAAGTTTGAGAAGCGATGGATATTCACACTGCCCACCATTAGTAAGGAGCACAGATGGAGAGCCCAGGCTCCCTCTCCAGTCAAAGGAAAGAGGCGAATGTTCTTGGGATGGCTCAGAGCAGGTACTGTCAGGCAGCATGTAACTTCAGTGATCTGAACCACCACCACCTGAAAGGGCTGACCTGTACTGACTACACCGAGAGCTTTTGAAACCCAGGATATGAAGTTTGGTAGTTAGCATAGCTGCCAGCATGAGTACTCTGCTCTAGCCTAGATCTCAAACAGGAGATCTCTCCTCATTTGCAACCTTTTGCAGTTCTTCCCACACAACAGGCACGCAAACCCGCTGGCATGAACATTCAGCAGCACCTCTGTGGAAACAGAGAAATTTTGCAATGTCCCTTTCAACTCATTTGCCACCAGAGGAAAGCAACAGTTTGGCACACCACCAGTACCAGTCCATTTCAACCCGTTATGCAGGTTTGGAAGAAAGGCCTTGCAGAGAACGAGTGTATCCTATGTTGCTGAAAGGATATCTGGGGATTCATCCAATGCATTAAGTAAATAAGATGATGGAAAGGAAGACCAAAGAAGTTAACCTGTATGAAAGAAAGATGCCTGCAGTAGCAGCAGCAGTAAGTGACTGAGGGATCTGAGCAGCAGCAAAAGAAGCAGAAGCTCAGAGGTTGACCAGGACCTGGAGAAGCATTGTTCGCAAGCCTCAAAAAAGTGAATACCTCAGACAAAATTCCAAGAGGCAGGTAATAGCCGTATGTTTTACTAAATCCTGTGATCCTGGCAGTTTTCATAAGCTCATCAATATTGTATCAGTTGACTCCTTGGAAAGGCTATTCAGCACAGAAAGCAAAGGGGCTGCTGGAAATGGTAACAGACTTAGTTTGCTGAACAACATTCTGCCATCCTTTGTGAGTTAAAACATTTTGTGACTCTTTCACTGTTGAGTTAGTAGAAAATTTAACCTAGATTTTCAATCATTGGTTCAAATCTACTGTCTTGATAGTAACTGATAATTACTACAACAGCTATTTATAGAGCCAAATGCAAAGAGTTATTGATTTTAGCAGATGCAGTTGATATTGACTGATGCTTCATGCAGCTCCCAGTGAAGTCAGAGTAAGGACTCCTATTAGCACCGCTGGGACTTGGACCAGACTCTGAATAAGCAGAATGCTAATCCCATTTAAACAAACTCGACTTTCCTTTGGGTGGACGGCAGGTAAACACCACTGCTTTCCAAGAAGGTGGGGGAGGGGGGGTTGCTCAATGATTAGACCACTTATCCAGATTGCTTATTCTGCATATACCACAAATATCAGCACAGTATTTACACAAGTGTGTAATAAACCTGTGTTAAACATTAAGGTCGTGATCATTATAGTGAACTGAGGCCTACAACAACAACATCAAGGATAACATTCTGTAGTTAAGCTTTTTCTTATTTTCTTGATAAAATACTGCAAAATTGTGCAGCTAATTACACTCACTATGCTGAAAATGTGATCAAGCACTCTCATAAGACAGTGAGAACTCACTGACAGCAGCAGTAAACTAAACTAGTATTTAAAACAGTATTGATCCCTTCCGTGATGTTAGATCAGTAGATTCTAAAAGTATCAAATCAGATACATTAAAACCAGTTCTATAACGGTGCTGTCAAGAAGTTTACTCAGTCTCCCAAAACATAAGCATCAACAGGATTTAGCAAGAGTAATTCCTCACCTGGCGTTTCTTCATTTCGCCGCTGCAATTCAGTCTCAACCTGATCCAAAACTTTTTCCAGTTCATCCAGTATTTTCTTTAGGTATTTTATATTATCATGATCCAGCAGTTTAGACTAAATATATATACAGGTTAGTGTTTTAATCATTGTACAGAGTTTATACTTTTATCAGAGAAACTTTTACTTAGATACTACAGTGCTTATTCATAAAATGTGACTATTTTCTCCACATAGTTAGCTGGATACCATTTGGATACTGGTGACAATTCAGATAACAGAAGAAAAACATTAGAGATGCTAGATCTCGAGGTTTACCTCACCCTGCAGGGTGCTCAACAGCCCAACACCAACACTGATGTGTACTTACCTTTGAAGTCAGTGGGACCAGTCCAATACTTCAGCACACACTTGAAGTGTGTAGCTGATCTGGGGGACAGACTGCTTCATGCCTTGTAGGGTTAAACCACTGCATGACATGACTGGTAATGACAGGTGAAACGTATGTTTACATTGTGACAGAAAAAATCTGACACTAACAAGCTCATTAAAAAGAGGGGGAATACAATGAGTTTTCTTACTTTAAGGCGCTTCTGTTTTGCTATATAGGCATCCTGAAGGTCTGGATTTTGTTCTGCAAGTTTCTTCAACTCTGATTCTGTGTTACTTATTTGGCCTGATACAAAAAAACAAAGAAATGACATTAGATATCCAAATGTACCCATAATGCAATCCACAGGAACTAATCAATAGTTTGTGTTCAAATATCACACTGAAGAAATGGGAAGTGGTACTTCAATGAAGCATCACCACCAAGTTGGGATTCAAAAGCATCATGTTTTGGAAAACTTAACTGCCACATGAATTGACCCACCACATCTTCTGCTCATCAGTTTGCAATGAACTCTATAAAGTCATGATCTGCCAGGCAAGAATGAGGAATTCTTGTGAATATTTTTCTCTTATTCAAATAAAACCATTTTGCTGCCAAAAACTGTGCTAAATCCATGAAATTCTACTACAAATACCTTAGGTCTCTGATGTTTTTGTACATCAGCTCCTGGGTTCCTAACACACTTCTCATGCTGTGAGGCCCATACTGAGTTTTTCTGTAGGTCACTGTAGGTCACATGCATAATTCCACAGCAAAAGCCTAAATACCACTGAATATGGAACCAAAGTGTTTTCAGTTAGCTAAAATGTGACACCAAAATTTGTGATCCCTTTTGGAAATGTTCATTACGGAGTATATGGATGTTCTAGAAAAACATTCATTACATTGCTTAAAGAAGGAATGATGTGAAAAATTTAAGGTAATTTTACTGATTTCTACTACATGTGTATAGTCTCTTCTCTCCTTAAAATGGGGCTTTGCTTCAAAATGCCATACTTACAGACCTAGAATACCAAAAGATAGTGAATAATAAGTTATCTTCTAAAAATAAATATTTCTAGTAATAAACTGAGAATAAAAGAATAATTATAGGGCATGAATCACCTCTCACTTGTACTTGATAATTAAGATTAGTTCTAATTAAGTCTTATAAATTAAACTGATAAAAAATTCTTGCTAGAGAATAATGAACTCACTGTTTTATATATTTGTTTCAACCTGACATGACTGTGAAAGCCATCTTTCAACATAGTATATGAAGAAATTGAAGGATGTAATCACACAACTAAAATCTTACATATGCAATTAATTACTTAATTGGATTTGGTATGCATAAACATAATACATAACTGGCTGGTGGCTTATTATATCTAGCAGTTTGAAAAAGATCAGCTTTTCAAAGCTGAAAACTAAACCATCCGGGAGAAGTCTGAACAAGCAAAGGAATTGTTTAGGAACATCCAGGAGCTATTCAAATAAATGCCTCAAATCAAGAAAGCAGACTATGCTTTAAGTATAAAAAGGTAAGAAAACATCCCATTTTAGACAAGTAGTAATTTTAGCTTTACCAATATGAACGTGTGTGTGTAAACTGATAACAGTTTACACCAACTAGAAGCTAGAGGGGAAGAATACATACAGCCAGCAGAACATAAGACAACATTGTAAAATGAACCGTAATAAAAACACTATTACCATGTGAAAACAGAAAAACTATCAATAATGCCTACGAGTGAAGTACAATTGTTCGATAAAGAGTCAGCATCCACATTTGGGGGAAAAAAAAAAAACCACAAACCAGACAGTACACTGATATAAGAGAATAATTCATATTACTTCAGGGGAGAAAAAAAAAAAAGGTAATTACTCTTGCTGAAATTACCCATTCTAAATGTCTCCAGATACTTTTCATAAAGAATTTATTTTTAAATAGCAATCATCTTTGGACCAGCAACACTCACTTCTAAATACTTTGCAATGCTCAAGAAGTTTCCAGCAGACAGGAAGAAAACTAATACTGCACTGATGTTTTATAAAGGGTAACTCATGCAACCTTAAGGAAAACTAACTGCCTGACTTCAGTTCTGACAACATAACAGCATGGCTAATAAGAGAACTGACTTGGCAAAAATGTTAAGGAGTAGGATAACACAGTTTGTTGGAAATAGAACCTCTCAAACTAACACAGAATCATCTTCTATGATATTATGAATTTGGTAATAGTATAGTTGTATTACATTTCAAAGTCTCTGCAGTATTTGACTTTGTTCTACGGAGCATTCTAAAATATCATACAAAAAAAATCAACACGATATAAAGCACTGACATTGACAAAAGAAATCAGAGATCTCAGAACATAACTATAAACAGGGAATCGTCATCCACCGTGTTCTCAGGATTTGATCCTTATCCTAGTATTTAGTTCTTTCATAATACTTAGAAGGAAAATAAAAGCATTAATTAAAGTTTGCCATGATACAAAGACTAGAAGGGACATAAATCAAGAAAAAACATGGCACTGATGATAGCCAGTGGTCTGGACTGGTTGATAAACTGGGCCTAAGCAAGGAATCAATGTTTCAACAATGATGTAAAATATAAATTGAAGCAACACATACGAGCCATGTTTCTTGGCAAGAGGGCTCTAAGTTTGCAAGCAGTTCTGAAAAGCTAGGCTGAGGTCATGATCCACGACCAGCTGAACAAGGATTCCCAGTGCAGTTCTGTGGCTGAAAGTAACACCGGAGTCCTTGAACATACATACAGTGAAAAAAACAAGAATAAAGAAATATTTATCTCCCTATCTGATACCAAAGTGGACAGAATCTGCTGTCCTGTTCTGGCGTCCAAACCCGGGCCGGGGGAGGGGGGAGAAAAGAAAAAGAAAAAAAAAAAAGATCTATGAGAACTGAAAGATTATTTGCCAAGGATTTTTCTGAATATCACTGAACGTTGTTTAAACGAAGTATTTCTGCAAACAACTGGATTTGAAACAGGAGTTCATTTCAGGAGGTTCTCTGGTATAAAGAGAACTGGGCAACATAATCTACAATTATTTCCTCTGCCCTTAGCATTTTTTTTCTTGGGAAACTGGTCCGTATATAAAAGTCCATCAGGTAAAATATCGATCCCAAGGAAGTCAAAGGACATTTTACCATTGATTCTACCAGACCACTGGTTCATCCTTTATCCTGACTCTATGTTGTTCCGTTATTTGCACCCAGGATTTTGGTTTAAATTGTGCTTTAACAATTTCCATTGGTCTGATGAACCCAAGCTACTTACTTCTTCACACTTTTTTTTTTCCCTCCCTACCCCTGGCACCAAGCTGACACTAGTACATTCCTCAGACAAAAAGAGCCTGATGGTTCTCTTATAACATATTAGATAAACAGACTTTGCTTCATTGAGGCTAATCTACATTTGCACCACTTGGAGAGGAAAGAAATTGCTTTAATTTAATAGGTAAACTTATTACATTTACAATCACAAAAAAATGGGTTTCCTTCAGTGTAGTGGTTTGATGTGAACAGTAATACAGCTGTTCCCTAGAAACTGCTTTATAAGTATAAACAGCAAGATCAGAAAATAAAATACTCCAGCTGTCACAGCTGCCATTTTCTGTTATGCACAAGAAGCACATTTTCAATCATTAGGAAAATTAATTCCACAGGCACCTCAAAAATGACACTTCCTCTTTCCTATTTTCAAATCATAACAGACTACAAAATCAATAAAAAGTATATGCACAAATTATCAAGGACTGCAACTAAAATTGGAAATCTGTGCTCAATATATTCTGCTTAAAGTGCACTGAAGACACAAGATGAATGTAATGCAACATCCTACTAACTGATAGGCATTCAGAGCTATACCAGTACATACTACGAATTCTGCTGGTAGCATAGGCTGGAATCATGGAGTCCACTGTTAACTCGGGGTGCAGGATGCAGCCATGCGTGTAGGCATCCATAGGCAAGGAGTCTAAAAGCTCTCTATAGTGTTGCACCCTTGGATAATACATGCTCCCTTCATCTGGCATTAATCTTGGTACTTCCTCTGCAATACAAAGTTAAAAATAAAATTAAGAAAAGAAGAACCAAGTAATTTACCAAAAGTAGTATTTCCAAAGTTACTTTGGTTACGTCCAACCTGCACAGATGACACAGCCACAGTTAAGAAAGCTTCACTTGTTCCCCACCGTAACTCAAGTGTTATCACAGCTCAGAGAAACGTATATACACATACTTCATTTTAAAATGTTTGAATAATTCCAATTCCTATGCAGCAACCCACATAAACTCGTATTTAAGAGGCCTTCAAATCAGAAAAATGCTGCCTCTTCACACCTAAAAAAATGCAACTCTGCATTTCCTTCAAAAATTGAGGCAGTCTGTTTTCTGGCAATATAGACACACAGAATTTCAAAAGCCTGCATGTGATCACTTCTGAGCTTTTTCTTCCTACTTTTTTACCTCTTCATTCCACTTTGGCTCTAAAAATAATCTCCTCATTCTACCTCCTTTTCCCACCCAAGATTATTCTGGAATTAAGCATCTTTCTTTTTTTCTCGCAGAGAAGCGGGACCTGCAGCTCTCTGTTCAATACATTGCTTTTTGCGGCAGTCTCGCCAGAGGGTTAGCTCAGCGCCGTGCTGCCATTGCTGAGTTCTCCATCCTCCCCGAAGGGGTAAGGAGGACAGCGCTAGGTTTTTACTTACAGCTGCTTGTAAAGGTGCTGGAAGGCCTTCAGTTCATTTTAAAGGAACGTGTTTTTTACCCCATACCACCAACTACGAGGAGGGCCCATCTACTTGTGAGACTATAAACGTTTTCTGGTCCTGAATGAACCAACACGTAGCAATACGGAGCTGAGCCCAACACTGCTGCTCGCTACGGCTACCTGGGGAAGGATTTCACACCGAAACGCCTATGGGATTACCATCCACAAACGTTGCTTCAAGGTAATCGATAATCTGCGTTGCCTCACAAATGATGTTTTCCCCATGGATCAGGACAGGTACTTCTCCAGAGGAATTCAAGCGCATGAACCACGGTTCGTTGTGCTCGCTCAGCGGCAGGTTTACATCGTGCTCTTCGCACTTCAGGGCTTTTTCGGCTATTGCCAAGCGCACCTGCAATGGTATCATCGGGCTTACCCCAGCAGAAGCACTCCCCGGAGAGCTGTCCCCGGCCGGCGGAGCCAGCCCGGCCCGGCCCCGGGCCT